TCTGTAAAACAAACAAAACAACAAGCTACTCTGTGTTTACACATGGATCTTGAATCACTCATCTTCTTTTCTTTTTGCACTTGCTTGCCATTTCCACTGCTGCTCCCTCTGTCATTCAAAGCTCTTGGACTGAGTACAAAACCCCCCAAGAAATCTACATTTTCACTAAATCAAAATTTATCAAAACTTACCTTAGGATGGAAGTATGGAATGGTTATGTTTTATCTACTCTGGCGGTTAAATTGAAATATGTGTATATCTCAAAATCCATCTCACTCCATTGTGACCTCCAATCAAAACAGTCCTAATGAATTGCCACCATTTTCTTAATCTGGTTTCAGGGGCTGTGAAGCTTAGCTGTATTTTGGTTACTACATAATCAGTTTTCATTTGTATTCATCATAAGGAATATTAAGAATACTTAGTCCTAGAAGATTTTATTCTGCTACATTAGTTTTCCCTAACTTGGTATCCTTCACATGTTTTGGACTTCAGCTTCCATGTTTCCTTCCCATTGGCCATCTTAGCTGGAGAGCACAGGGTTGAGCTATTACAAGAAGGAAAGAGCCCTCCTAGTATGCCCCAATCCATAAAACATTTTGCATCATTAAGTGGGGGGAATAGTTTGCAATGTCTTGCAATCCAACAAGCAGTGTATACCCTGGGGTAGAATGCTGATGTAACCACCCAACTCAGGATGATAGTGGCCCATTGCCTCATGCCTGAATCATAGAATCATAGTTAGAAGAGACCACGAGCCATCCAATCCAACTCCCTGCCAAAAAGGATGATACAATCAAAACACTTCCAACAGATGGCCAACCAGCTTCTGTTTAAATACCTCCAAAGAAGGAGACTCTACCACACTCTGAGGCAGTATTGTTGAACAGCTCTTACCGTCAAGAAGTTTTTTATAATGTTTAATTGGAATCTCTTTTTCTGTAGTTTGAGTTAGCTACCATATTAAAAGTGAGAAGAGCATTATATAGGATAAAATTTCATGTCAAGATCAAGCGTGTGAAGAAGCAGGATGGGAAAAGAATGGCATGGTTAAAAGAGTAGTCTAGAAATAATCAATTGCCATTCATTTTATACAGTACAGCCACTGATATTAAGGGACCATGTCTATAACCCGTGCCTCAGATTATTATCAACTGTAGTGACAAACCTACTTCTGTGTGCCTAATGGAATTACTGGTTTCCTTACGCACTCTCTCAGCACTTTTTTCCACCACCAGCAGCTGTTTATTGTATATTTAGGCCTCTTGGAATCATAAGGTTGTCTCCGCAGTCCATTTGAGGAATTCCTGACATAAGAAAACAGGAAGATCCCTGCTAGATCAGATCCAAAGATTTATTAAGTCCAACATTCTCTTTCCAACTGTAGTCAGCCAGTTTCTTCTGGAGCTCCACAAACAATGACAGTATCTTTCTTCTTTGTTTGCCCCCAGAATCTGGAATTGAAATATTTCACAATCCTGGCCTTTATTCACAATTCAACATGGATTGGTGTCTGAAGTTTGCATAAAGAATGGTGCTTACTATCATAATCGAGGGACCTTGCACAGCTCACTGGTAGAGCACATGCAGAAGATACTTGGTTCAATCACCAGCAACTTAAGTTAAAAGAATCTCAGGAAGCAGGACAGGAGAAGATTCTGTGCTTGAAGCCTTGGAGAAGTGCTACTAAGTTATTAGAAATAGCTGTAGGTTAGATGAACCAGTGGTCTGACTTGATATAAGCCAGCTTCCTATGTTTATGCAGACATCATGCCCCCCACTCGATGTAGTGTTCGAATAAATATATTATGCTTATTTAGTGTGTGTATTTTCATTCGCACATCCATGTATATTCATATTTTAACATTTTATAAAGAAATAACATTGTTCAAATTAGAACAGTTTTATTTACGTTAATTCCATATTTAACTCAACATGTGTAAAATTTACACATAAAATGGTTTGGGAAGAGGAGGAGGAGTGATCAGGATCTCCAAGTCTTACACCCCCTTTGAGCCACTCCCATGACCCCCAGGGGTCCTGGCCCACTGTTTGAGAACCACTGGCCTGTTATGCTTCTGCCCTGTTTCTCAACAAAATTAATCTGTACATAAGTTGTCCTCCTTCTTTATGAGGTCCTTTAAGTACCTGAACATGATGACTGCATCCCAACTCTCCTGCCATTTAATCTTGTCAAGCTTTTCTTCATAGCAAATTCCCACTTTTGTAGCTTCCCCTATATATCCTTCCCAAGTTCTCAACAGCTGTAGTGTCCTGTTTATAGACATCATCTTAAGTGTGGTAGTTTCATATTTAGGACCTTGAGAATCTCTTGATTTGCCTTCCAAGGATGACTGCATTTCTCCCATTAAATTACATTATGTGTTGCAGCTTCCAGAGTGCATATTCTCAGTTCAAGCTTGGGGTGAAAGTATCCGCCAATAAGGAAGGTTTAATAGTGACAGGTAAGCTGGGTTTTTTTTTCTTTTAGGAAATCATGTGTGCCATTAAATTGGCTCATTAATGTCTTATGGAGCCTCAAGGTTTTCTGGAGCAAAGTTGGAAGGTACATCTCTGTTGGGCATTCTTTTCTGTTTTATGGTGATTTTGCATATTCTTGAATGATTTCCTTAACAATGGGCTCAGAATCTAAAGGTTTTCTCAGGTATTACCTTTACCCAAAGCTGAAGTTAAACACTAGGTGACCAATACAGCAGCCACAAGTTTGCTAGGATTTGGGGGATATTTGACTCTTTAAAATATCTGCAAGTCTTTGCCACTCTTTCTTCCATTTGTCAATAACCATGGTTGGTCTGACTGTCAGTGGTGACATCTGGAGCACAATCTAACCAAAATTATTTCCAGGTCTCACCAATTTCAACAGGAGATAATTAAGAATGTGTATAACTCTGTAATTATGAAACTTCAACTGGAACAGCTTTCATTTTAAATCAACTGTTCTTGGCCATTGAGAAGTGTATATCATTTGTTCATGACTTCTCTGTGGACTCATGCCTTCAGGGGGGGGAGGGGTAGAAATGTCTTCATTTACAATATTTCCATGAGATTAAAATAAAGGTCTGATTAGCTACTGTGCATATTTGCTTATCATTTGTGTTAACTGCTTGCTATGTGTGGCTTTTTCATGGGGTAAGCAAAGCATCTGAAGGCAACTAAAGAAGACTGTTTGTATTATCATCAAAGCACATTGGATCTCAGGGATGGTATTCAGTTATGGATTCATAACCTAGAGTTATATATCCATAATTGCTCTGTATTCACTAATCCTATGTAGTCACAGCCCACTCTGACAGCCAGCAGCCCTCAGCCCACCTTAAGAGCCAGGCACCAGATCTGGAACAATAAATTATTCAATTGAGTAATTGAGGGGTGTTTTGTCATGGTTCCCTCCATTTGGGGGATTTTGTGCACAGCTTTCGGGCACAAATTGCCCCCAAATCTTACTGAAACATTTTTTTTAAAATACAGGTTGAGGTGCTTTGAGAGATGGGGGGGGGAGGTTCATAGATCTCGAAAGTGGGGTATAGGGTTCACATGGGTCCCATGAGTTGCACTTTTCCCTGATACATATTACAGATTTCTTTCTAAGTGTCTGAAGCTTTCCAAGCAGCGGTTGGATGACCATCTACATGGGGCTACCCTTGCACTTAACTCAGAAACTTCAATTAGTTCAAAATATGGCAGCCAGATTAGTTACTGGTACATCTAGGAGATAGCACATCACGCCAGTGTTGAAATCTCTCCACTGGCTGCCTGTTAGTTTCTGGGCACAGTACAAGGTGTTGGTTTTGACCTTTAAAGCCCTACATGGCTTGGGTCCAACTTATCTCCGGGACCGCCTCCTTCCATATGACCCTCCCCAGGCACTTCAGTCCTCTGGGAGGAACCTGTTGCAGCCCATAAAAAACCAG